GGCCGATACGCCTTAAGGAACTTCAAGAAAACAGCTGAATCCTTTCTAAAAGGCAGGCAACACACCTGTAAATTATCCTGGTATTGCAGTTGTACATGGGCGGCGGTAGTTACTTACCATCAGGTGTGCCGCATGCTCGTTTGCCCCCTCTTGTATATAAAAAAAAAAACCTTTGCTCAATAAAAGGCAGTTATTTCGATTTCCGTGGGGTGGGGTCCACGTGCGGTGAAGTTCCTAAAGGAACTCCATCCGCGGATGGTCGTTGCTGCTGGCGATAAGAGGGCTGGCTCTTTTCTCGCTCAAAAGCTAAGTATAGCCATTCAGCGGGGAAACGCAGCTAGCGTTCTTGGCACGATACCGCAGGGAGTAGGACTGTATGATAATTAAGTTACTAGTTTTTTTTATTGTTATAGTTTTTATTATGGTATATAATAAAAAAATCGATATTACAGACAAACTTGATATACAGGGTCAAGTTCAAATATATAAATACCAGGCTTCTACTTTTATTTGAAATTTTTTTGCCTACCGATCGACTCTTACGAATGTGTGCGTGCGCAGTAAAATCAGTTAAAATAATGCATTACCACACATTTTATATTTAAAAGATAAAAAGGACAGAATGTTTCAGATTTTTTAATTAATTTTTCTTCGCCATTTGCCTATATTACTTACTCTGAACCGTCTCTGCAAATTTGGCCGGTTATTGCAAAATAACCCTGTACAAGATAACTTTTGAAGTTTAATTACGATAAAAATATAAAAGCGAATTGATTCATAATCTAAATATTCTGTAAGCATAATAAAGTCAACGACAGCTATCAGCGTCACGTGGTCATCTGGCTGGAGGTATGTTCAATTAGCATGTTGATATCGACGAACTGCCCCCTGACCGATCGGCTTACGTAACACCCATTTGTATGACTACTGCCGCATATATCGAACTCGTTTTAAAATAACCAGTTTATGTGAATAATAAATTATTGGTTACAACACTGTGAATATATAATTTCACTTTATTAGTTTATTAGTGATAGCATAATGGTCAAAATTCGACCATAATTTATTAAAATTTAAAGTTTATATATTAAACAAGCTGTATTTCATTTTTAACTGCGCATTAACACGTAGATATATCTTTAAAAAAAAATAGAATAAACGTTTTTCGACTTGACATACACTCCACAGACTATTAAGAAAGGAAGATTTGAACAGAGAAAATTAAGTAGTCATTATTACAGTTGCTTGGATACAGTCTCTCTCTACTCTGAGCGACTGTTTGACCACAGACTATTATGTGTAGATATTGGCAGTGTGAACATAAGCAATTAATGTTTTATTTAAGGTGAAAGCGCCAGGGTAACCCGCGAAATTCAAATTTTCTTACGTTTTTTGCAATTTGTAGGTCAGTTTCAGGTTGTATGTTTAACAAAATATGATTCGGGACCGTAACGAGTATGTGTTTACATAATTATAATCATTATAATTATCAATACAACTCTCTAGGTTCGTATAATCCCAATGTATGGCTATTTCCAGAAAAACTCATTCAAAAGGATTATATGAACTAAGAGGGTTGTATTGGTGATTTTAATGATAATGGTTCTGTAAACACATACTCGTTACGGTCGCAAATCATATTTTGTTAAACATACAACCTGATCTTAACCTGCTAATTCCAAAAAACGTAAGAAAATTTGAATTTCTCGGGCCACCCTGGAGCTTTCACCTTAATTGAATTTAATACTGATTTTTTATATTTACGTGAATATTATATATTATATAATACTAACGATCCGCCCCGGCTTCGCACTGTTGATTTCTGGATATCGACAATGCCACTTGTCGGGTCCAATTGTGAATCTAAACAATTTTCTAGTTAACACACAAAATTTCATCAAAATCGGTCCAAACAGCTGGAGGAGGAGTTCAGTCACATAGACACGGTCAGAAGAATGATATAATATATAATATGCATGTATTATACATATAAACCTTTCTCTGAAATTATTGCATGCCGTAAGCGCTAAGCGCATCGCTATGTTCTACTAGGGCCTAGAAATTAAGATTCCAATGTTTTGTCGCATAAACTCGTATCTAGCAATCATATTGTACATATAAGTGATATAAAAAGCACATTGTCAGAAAGATAAATGATTGTGGAACTTATTAATATTTTTTTTTGTCTATTGACGAAAACCACATGAAAATCCGTTGCGTAGTTTTAAAGATGTAAGCGTACAGACTGCGGGAAGCGACTTTGTTTTATACTATGTAGATATTTTTGTAATACACATATTATGTATAAATTTTAGCTTTTTGTACTCCTTCTCCAAATAAACTTTAACCTTGCCAAATCACACACTTCTTCGTGAGTTAAATATGCTTCAAAAGCGGTACAAAAAGGGTTTTCCCTCCACGTCTTAATGTAGAGATTTTTAATGGAATGAAGCTGACAAACGAGAAAATGGATATAATGAGTAAAATTGATACTTACCTATAGACACCAGTTTTTTTTGTTGTAAGTACCATATATATTTTCCTAGGTATTTAGTAAAATGCTGTTATTTTGACATTACAAACGGACACTTTAATTATATTTATTTGTATAGATAATAAAAAAAACTATTGATATATCCAATTATGCATGCCCTAAGCGCATTAAAAAAATTACACATAACTATACGTAATTTTTTATGTGTAATTTTTTAAAGTAGTTTAAATACACACAAGTTTTTACTAATTACCTTATTATTATACTTCCAATTTTGCAATAATTTTATGCCAAACTTCAATTAACAAAAAAGTTTGGAAAATCCAAAGTGCACGACTCATAATGCTCATATGATCATCATATCATCATGCAGGTCACTCCATGAAATCCAAGACGTATTTAAGTATAAATATACTTAAATATACATACATCGTACTTACTTTTAGTACGTAGTACTATTATTTATTCTGTGCTTTTAAAATATTGTAATAAAAATCTCTGATTATTATAATAATCAAGTATGTATAAAATTTGGTTTTTCGAACATTTTGTATTTGTACAGCGATCTTTTTGAGCCGCTGCAAATAACCGATACAGTATCCATTCACAACGGCGAACGCCGGTTGACGACGAAGTGAGCGAGAGTGAGTGAGGCAGTCTATTTAGTAAAATAAATTATTACAAGGTTGATAAAACACAGAATATTTCTGGAATTCTACGCCGAAAAAAATTAATTATAACTAAACAAAAGAAAATGAAACTGCCATTTACATTCCATGGCTTCCCACATGATAGATGAAGAGATTAAAAAATAGATTGAGTTAAACAATTGCTATTTTCAAAAGTTATCGTATTTACCACTCCATGCGGATTTAATTAATCTACACCATAAGACACTAAAACCCCCTTTTTATGTAAAAATAGCAATTAATCGATTTAAAAAAAATTAATGAGTTCAACAATCATTTATCTTTCTGACAATGTGCTTTTTATATCATTTATATGTATAATATGATTGCTAGATACGATTTCATGCGACAAAACGTTGGAACCTTGATTTTAGGCGCTAGTAGAACATATTATACCTACGCGCTTTGCGGTTAAAGCATGCAAAAAAACTAAATACTGGTTATACTAATTTTTTTTTATCATGCTAATAAATATTGTATATATTTGAATTTATAAATTAAATATTTGTATTAATTTGTATAAATCAAAACTTATATTATTATAATAAATAGATATATTATTATAGTTCTATTTCCCGCGGTTTAGTGCAAAGTACGCTGGCTGCGTTTCTATGGTGAACTGACTATCCTTAGACTTTGGGCGAGAAAAGAACCAGCGCTCTTTTTTTTTTTTATAGGATCGGGTGACAAACGAGCACACAGTCCACCTGATGGTAAGTGGTTACTGTGACCCATAGACATCTACATCTATCCTCAATAAAGACTCAAGATGTAGATGCGTTGTCACCCGTGAGGACTAATATGGAATGCCTCTTTGCCAGTAAAAAGGGTCTCCGGTTCTCTACACTCACCACACGAAACACAGCAGCGTTAAGCTGCTATTTTACGCTGGTTTTCTGTGAGAGCGTGGTCCTTCCCCGTTCGAGCCGACCCATTCGTGCTACAACCATAATATAGCTGCAGCATGGCTCTACCACGTAGATAGCTCTTGCCACCAGACTTCTCCGTTACGGTCCTTCTATAATATACGAAGTTCATGTAATGACAGTTTCTTCAAAAGCCTTTTGGCCGGCAACTTACCCCAAATTAAATAAGTTTATTTATCATCTATCACCATCACTATTTAGTGATCATCATCATCATCATTGCAACTATCAAGGTTCATTACTGTACATAGGCCTCCCCTAATAGGACTACAGGACGAAATGAAATAGCAGATTCTCCTATAATATATCACAGCGACGGGGCTATCACCCCAGTGACTGCATTTTTGTCACTAGGTATTTGCTTTTTTAACTTCCCGCTTTGAAAATTAATAATTATCAAAAGTAGGAAGTTATACGTTTCGGTCCAATTTTGAGAATGCGAGTTTTCTTCAGATCCCTACGTTTTGAGGTCCTAGGAAGCCGTGCGTGAGTCCGTGCGTCTGTGTGTGCGTGCTTGAATGCGCTCGTGCGTGTGTGTGTGTGTGTGTGCGTGTGTGTGTGTGTGTGTGTGTGTGTGTGTGTGTGTGTGTGTGTGTGTGTGTGTCTGTGTGTGTAAATAAAATTTTGTCGTACGATTTCTTTAGAACGAAACGATCGAGATGAGCGACACGGCATTCCAAAGTGTTCATTGACACTTCGAGCTGATTAGATTTTCAAGTCAATCGGTCTAACCGCTTCAAAGATTTATTTTATAAGCGGAAAGTTTCAGGGATAGCCTGCAGGGTCATCCGTTTTTCAGATTTTTAAGTTACTATTGTTATTAGTGAATCCTATTTGTTATGTTGCACGCATTTCCAGCGATAACATAAGTAATGGACGATATTTTAACAGATCGGCGCCTACTGTTACGCTGAGTTGGGAACAATGATCCGGCTGAGTGGAGCAGACTACGCTTACATCATGGAGACCTTTGGGCCCTTTGCCGCATTCATCCGACTCTGGATCGAGTGCATGATAGTTCGACCGTGCTCCCAGGTGAGTACCTTAGATTCAAGTCAAGGAAACTGTCGCGGTAAGGTTTTTTATGTGGTAGGTCGTGGATGGTAAGTGGTGCTGAGGCCCGTAAAGATCTACATTTATCCTCGATTATTGAAGAATAAGAAGATGGAATGCCTCGTTTCCAGTAAAAAGGGTCTACGGTTACCTACACTCGCCAAACGAAAGCCATTAAGCTGCTATTTTACGCTGGTATTCTGTGAGAGCGTGGACCTTCTCCGGTCGAGCTTACCCATTAGTGCTACAACCATAATATAGCTGCAGCGTGGCCCTACCACGAGTATTTAATAACTGTAATTTTTATAACTGCTACTAACACAGTAATGACGCCTCCGTGGCGCAAAAAAAATTGGATTATGGAAAAATAAGATTTGTATTTATTGGCTATAGGCTTCTCATTGTGTTATACAGGATATTTTGCAATAAACAAAATTTGTACAGAAGGTTCAGAATAAGTAATAAGTATAGAAAAATGATGAAAAAAATTAAAAAAAAAACCTCATACATTCTGTCGTTTTTAACTTTTAAATTCAAAATGCGTGGTAATGCACTATTTTATGTGATTTTACTACGAACGCACACATTTGTAAGGGTCGATCGGTAGGCAAAAACGTTGTTGCCCATAAATCACATTCAATTTGGGATAATTTCAAATAAAAGTAGAAGCCTTATTTACTGGTATTTCCATAAACTGCAATAACGGTATATCATTATTTATATAATTGAACATAAGTTGCAGGTGCCTTTACAAATTGAAGAGTTCGATGATTTTCTCATGGATCTCATCATCGGCTCTTGACTGACTTTATATATGAGACCATACCTCAGGTACAACGTAAAAATAGTTATTAAAATCGAACTTCATGATAAGGAATTATCGTTTATCATACATCAAAAATGATGTATGCTAAACGATAATTCCTTTTACTGTGGGGGAGAAACTGCTGGTGTCCAATCACCTGCCAAGTGTGGCAACTATAGCCAAATCTGGGAGAGGCCTATGTTCAACAGTAAACAGTAGACTTAACAAAATGTTCCCTCAAATCCGAAATGAACACCTCTTTCTTTTTTTTAAAGTAGGTTTAGGTAGAGTGACAAAGCTACTCCAAGGTGTGTCCACATAAAATCCAGTTGTGTTTGGACTACAGTTGGATTTCTATATTTTGCATTAAAAAGAAATAAAAAATCAATACTACGTTACTACGTAGTATTGAATTTATCCTCAATAAAGAATCAAAATGCAGATGCGTCGTCATCGTCACCCGTGAGGATTAAGATGGAATGCCTTTTTTTTCATTAAAACGGGGTCTCCGGTTCTCTACACTCACCATACGAAACACAGCAGCGTTAAGCTGCTATTTTACGCTGGTATTCTGTGAGAGCGTGGTCCTTCCCTGGTCGAGCTGACCCATTCGTGCTACAACTATACTACTATAGCTGCAGCATGGCGTACCACGTGAAATTGGTTTTATTATTACTTAATATATATTCTTTCTCAATATTTTCTTCCTCAAGGATGCCGCCATTATTCGCTACCTGGTAATACCGGTACACCAGTAACAGGTTCTTACTATTTATTATTTCAAATGGATTCATGTAGATGCGTGACGCAGGCAGCTAACGCAAGACATTATGTAAAATATATTTTTATTCGAAAACGTTAATACTAAAGAAAAAAAAACTCTGCTAAAAACCTATCAGATACATAGCCAGATCGGAAAGCCAGTATATGTAGGAAAAGAATATTTATTAATTTTTGGATCGTCAGAATAACAAACATACTAACTTACACAACATAAAGGTATAAAAACTAAGTGTTGCAATCCATGCACCCATTACAGCGCTCTACAAGTCCCCTGCTAAAGTCTACCATTTGTTTTACCGCTACGAGACTGCACCTCGAGAAACTTTTTTCCCCATAAGTTGTCGGTGCTTCGAACTACATATCCGGCCTTTGCATTGCCACTTCAGGTTACTAATCTGTAGGGTTATGTCGGTTACTCCGGTACTACTGCGGATATCTTCATTACGATTACTATCACTCCCAGAAACGTTTAATACGTGGTAGTGCCACGCTGCAGCTATGTTATGGTAGTAGCACGAACGGCTCGACCCGGGTACGACCGCGCTCTCATAGAATACCAGCTTAGGTGTTTCGTATGGGGAGTGTAGAGCAACGGACACCCTTTTTACTGGAAACGAGCCATTCCATCTTAGTCGTCACGGGTGACAACGCATCTGCATTTTGATTTACAAAAATCAAAAAGCATTTATTTATTATTAAAAAAGTTTAATATATAAAAATAAATTTTTATTTGTTCGTGTTTTATGCGCTACCATACCGTTCATCAGAGTGCGGTAAAACTCTGTCAACTTATTGCTTGCATTTGCGCGAAGGTTATAGGCATAGTACAATTAATTTATATTCAGTAGGTGGTGCGCATGTCGTACCGAGATATTTATCTGAAAGTGTGTCATTAATTTATGACACTTCCAAATTTAAAACGATGTTTCCACAATTTATTTTTCTGAGGCAGCTAGCGCCGTGTAGCAGCTGGTATTATATAAAAAATCGAGGATACCTAAATGTAGATGTCTATTGACCACAGTATCCGCTTACCATCAGGTCGACTGTGTGCTCGTTTTTCACCCTTATTCTATTAAAAAAAAACTTGTCTCATAGGTCACTGAGCGACCTTGAGTTTCCTCATATCGAAATAATTACAAAACCAAACATGAAAACTATATATTTTATACTGTAGCATAATATACAGTGAGACGTAAGATTTACAGTGCTTGATAAAAGCTATATTGTAGCTTTAGAAGTAATATCGCCAGTGACAAAATGTGATTTCCTTCATTGCTTAAATTACAGATAAAACCTTGATACAGATAAAACCCTATTAGGTATTTTATTGGATAAAAGACTTTATTGACTGTTGAACGACGCAATATACAATTTGTCTTTACTGGATGTGAAAATAAAACTAGCGTATTGTCTGTCACTACAATTGTTTATTATTTTACATAATATAAAGTCTTTTAACCAACTTCAAAAAAAGGAGGAGGTACTCAATTTGGCTGTATTTTTTAAATGTGTTGTACCTCAGAATTTTTTGCTAGGTGAACCGATAGATTTTTTTTTAATTTTACTAATTGTTTACTAAAAGTAACAGACTAGGTAGTAACCGTGTAGTGGCGTTGTAAGAGTATACACTACCCCATATCATCCCGTGGGTGTCGTAAGAGGTGACAGAGGGATACAAATCAGGAAATGGGCAGCGGCGTCTTCCTAATAACCCGTTACTAAGCTTGGTAAATGTCCCCCATATGAGGCAATCTGTGGGAGAAGCCTATGTTCAGCAGGGGACTTTAATGGGATGTATTAGATGGATGTATAGAAGATAATATACCAGGAGTACATGACCCACTGAGAGGTGAACTATGGCAGATATCCTTCCTATGAGACACTCTATGAGGGAGGCCTATGTTCAGCAGTGGACTATCATAGACTGGAACGGTAACGGTAAGTGGTAGGACTCGTTTTCTGTCTTAAAACACATAATTTTATACGTGGTAGAGCCCTGCTGCAGCTATATTAGTAAAAGACTGCTTAGAGTCGGTTTGGTACCTACCACTCTCTACCCATTTCAGCCGCCAAACATTTTGAAATAGAATTTAGTAGCATTAACATTCGTTCAATATTAAAAAAAATACTAATCTTCGATCTCAAAACACTCGACAAATATTCCTTCACGAATGGATGGAATGGACGGATGGAACCACTAGAGCTCTTCGAGCTCGAAATTCTAGTGCTTCCATTCAAATCGGAGCAGAAAAGAGATGCATAAGCATGCATACAAGTTTGGGCCCGGCGTGAACACACTTAAAATATGTCTTAGTTTGAAGATTTAAACATTTGCTACTTATATCAAAAAAGCATAAATAACAAAATTATTTCTAACTCACAGGCAATCGTTGCATTAACATTCAGCGTGTACGTTCTGAAGCCCATATTTCCTGAATGCGATCCGCCTGAAGACGCTACGAGATTGCTAGCAGCATGTTGTATACGTAAGTTATATTATATTAAATACTAGCGACCCGCCCCGGCTTCGCTTGGGTAGTCATTTATGTCATCATTTAGATCTTAGATAGTCATTAACGGCCATTTATTTTAGCAACATTTTATTTTACAAAAATCGCCAAGATTTTCGGATAAAATGTAGCCGAGGCATTTATTGCCTGCAGACATTGCTTTCTATCTGTTTGTGAAGTTTCATCGCAATCGGTTCAGCCATTTCGAAAATTAGCCTGGACAGACAGACAGATAGACAGACAATAATTTCAAAAATTGTCATTCATGTCGTAATTGCATGCCAATAACCCTCATAGCTTAAAGAAGGCAGTTATACAGATATATGATATTACAGACAGACACTAACTTTATTTTTATGCATAGATATAGATAAAAAGTTAAATTCACAGCCTATATATGTCCCACTACTGGGCACAGGCCTTCTCTTATTTCTGAGAGAGTTTTAGGGCTAGGAAGTGCCCGCCGCGTTTCTCCATTACGTGTTGACGAACTTCGCATGTCTTCGAAATATTTATTTTTCTTATTTCTTAGACATGCAGGTTTTCTCACGATGTTTTTCTCCACCGCCGAACAGCGTGGTAAGTCAGCACTGAACATTGCAATTAACAATTTCATTGGTGCCGGCGGGGATCGAACCCGGGATGCTCGCGTACTGTGAAATTTACAGAGAGCGCTAATCGTCTGAGCTACTACGGCTCTTCTAGATAGATTTTTTTTTATTTATACACTAAACAAAAATAAGAACGAAAGAAAAAAATATTTTTCAATGACACAAAGAGCGGTCTCATCGCTAAAAGTGATTTCTTCCAGACAACCTTTGGATAAACAGGGTCGCAAAAAGTGGAAATGTGTGGGTACATATCTATTGGTTAACAATTATCGGACGTTTTCTTTGAATTTATTATCAAAGGAGAAAAAACTTACGTAATTCAAGTAAAAATATAAAAATGCTATATACATATGTGCAGAAATAAAGTATATTATGTCTATATTGCCGTTAAGACAGACAAAATAAAGTGAACATCCAAGTAGTACACAAATGATTTTTTCATATATAACGACTAGGTGTTCCCCGCGACTTCGCCTCGCCCTGTAATTTAGGATTTTAAACTTTTGCGCGAAACCTTTATTCTTTTTTTAAAATAAAAGTAGCCTAAGTTACTCCATAAAACATCAGCTATTTGCCAGTGAAAATCCCGTCAAAACAAACAGACAGACAAAAAAAATTAAAATTGTATTTTTGTTATAAGTACCATAATTATATACTTTCATATGCATGTAGTAAAAAGCTGATATTTTGACATTACAAACAGACACTTCATTTTTATTTATTTGTATAGATTTAAATATTTCCCGTCTGTCACCTAGAGGGCAGACTACAGACTTCTCCCGCCTCCTTCATGTGTCCATATAGCTACGTATACATGCCCGTTGGTTAAGGGTTAAGGATAAACTTAATTTGGCTCATTTCCAATAAAGGTTCGTCTAGGGCTCTAGGGCGTTCCTGCCGACTCTGCCACTCATATCTGCAACATAAATTCACTTTGTCATCTTTCCTCAATCATTCTTTCTACATGATCAAACCATCGAAGCATTCCTTTCTTCCTGGTCACAATATCTTGCAAATCACACTTTTCTTTTATCATACTCCTTACTGCATTTCCACAGCATTGATTCTACTCCCGTTCTACTTCTACCCCACCCAACTCATTACCATACATTAATGTAGAGAGTATCACACGGGATATTAGTTCTATTTAAACTAAGTCAGTTTCGAAAACAATTTTCTATTTTTTGCTATTTTTTTAGGTATAATTGTGACGAGAGGGGTGGGTAGAAACGGGTTGGTTAGATTATTTCAAGTCTATGGGTTGGTTATAAGTTATAACGCTATTTACCGAAAGCCACGAGAATTTTCTGGCATTTTTTATAGTTGCCTCCATTGATAAAAAAAACTAATTTTACGGATTCTATCGCGTATATTAACTTATTTTTATTTTTATATTCCCGACGTTTCGGGTGCTTTCCAGCACCCGTGGTCACGGGGGACTGAGTTGTTTTATTTAAAAATGTGTAGTGTTCGCGTAAATATAAGAAATCATTATGCCTCCATTGAGTTATATGGTACTACGTACTAGAGAAACTATTCCAAAAAAAATTGTGCGCTACTCTGTTTTCGCGCATGCGCGGGAGATAGTAGTAGTCGCGCATGCGCGGAGACTTTAATTTAATATAACATAAGATATTAATATAAAATAAATATAATTATTTAATATAAAATACTCTTATTTTAATCTAAACAAATATATTTCTAAATAAAATGTAATAATAATTATCTTATGGAATTCACAAATCTTCAATTTACGCAATATTTAGTTTAGTGTACGGATTGCAGTACACAGTTCAGTTGAACATAAAGTTCGGAATGCGAAATCTAGTGCGTAGTACATATATTATATCTAAATATATATATATATATATATATATATATATATTTGCCTCCTACAACACTCATGGGAAGAATGTGGTGATGGGTTCTCTTTACGGTGCCACCACTCACTAATTCTCAAGTCAATTCCTAATTGTTAAGACATTTCAGGACTCCCTCAAATGCCTCAGAAGAACTCTTATGTTTTCCGGGTGAATGTTTGTGCGTTTCGACGTAGCTTATGGCCTGAACGGCTTGACAAATTCGAACAGGTCTTTGATTATCTCAGATCTAAATAACGCCACATTAATAGAGTAAAAGATAATAATAGATCATTGCAATTTTTTTGATAACAAATTATATTTTTGGTATCCGAAGATGCCGTGTAGTGGCGGTTAAGAATATCCACTACCCCATATCTTCCCGTGGGTGTCGTAAAAGGCGACAAAGGGAAACAGGCAGGAGATGGGCAGCAGCATCTTCCTGATAATAGCCAGAATAACAATAAAAAAGCTGCGGTTACCAACCCGCTCGCCAAGCGTGGCAACTATGGCAATATACCCCCCATGAGCAATGACAATAATAAACGGCCCCCAGTCCCCGGCGGCCCCGCTATTCCTGGCTACGGTGGCGACCATGGTAACGGCGGGGCAGGGGGTGCTAAGAATCTCCGGTGGAGGTTCGGTTGCCACCTACGACGACTCGACCTGGCAACATACAACGCACGCACCCTGAGGACTGACGAGAAGATTGTGGAGCTGGAAGAAGAGATAGACAAGTTACGCTGGCATATTATAGGATTATCCGAAGTCCGAAGAGAGGGGGAGGACACGGTAATCCTCGAATCCGGCAACTTGCTCTATTACCGGGAGGGCGACCATCTGTCCCAAGGAGGTGTCGGATTTATCGTCCACAAGTCTCTCGTTAACAACGTTGTAAAGATTGAGAGTGTGTCGACGAGGGTTGCGTACCTTATACTCAGAATCACCAAACGGTATTCGCTGAAGGTCATACAGGTTTACGCACCAACCTCGGCACACCCCGATCAGGAGGTGGAGGAAATGTATGAGGATATATCTAGAGCCATGCATTCCTCCAAAACTCAATATACGGTGTTAATGGGAGACTTCAATGCAAAACTAGGCACAAGAGAGAACGGTGAGCTGAAAGTAGGGAAATTTGGAATAGGGCAACGGAACCCAAGGGGCCAGCAGTTGGCTGACTTCATGGAGAAAGAGGGACTCTTTATGATGAACTCTTTCTTCCAGAAGCGGCCCCACAGGAAGTGGACCTGGTCGAGCCCCGACGGTTCGACAAAAAAATGAGATTGACTTCATTATGACGACCAGACGACAACTGTTCAGTGATGTCTCAGTGATCGCGAGGGTGAAAACCGGCAGCGATCACCGAATGGTTAGAGGCACACTGAATCTAAACGTTAAGTTGGAGAGGTCTCGTCTAATGAAGTCAACGCTCCGTCCCCCTCGTGCTCTAATCCAAAGTCCCGAAACCTTTCAGCTCGAGTTACAAAACCGTTTTCAGTGCCTAGAAGACTGCAATGAAGTGGACGATTTGAATGACAAGCTCGTGGAAACTGTCCATGCGGTCGGAGCTAAGTTCTGCAAGACCCGCCGCAGAAGAACACAAAAACTCTCCGATCACACTCTTAATCTCATGGCTGTTACACGGGAGATGAAGCTACATTCTTCAACAGATTTAACAGCATACAGGCAACTGAACAGATAGATCTCCAAATGCATGCGGCGGGACTTACGCAACTTCAATACAGCTCGTATTGAAGAAGCGATCGAGCGAAACCAAGGCTCCAAAGTCTTTGCCAGAGATCTGTCTGCCAGAAAGCGCCAACTGTCAAAGCTGAAGACAGAGTGTGGCAGCATCGTTTCCGGGACACCTGAGATTTTGAGTGAGATTGAGAGGTTCTATGGGCAGCTGTACACGTCATCGTTGGAGCCGCACGCAAGTGTGAGTAACGATCCAAGAGCGAGTCTTATCCGACATTATTCCGATGATATCTCGGACGTCAGTCTGAGCGAGATTAGAATGGCTCTCCAGCACCTTAAAAACGGCAAGGCCCCAGGCGAGGATGGAATTACTGCGGAGCTTCTGAAAGCGGGTGGAAAACCGGTACTTGAAGTCCTTCAGAAGCTCTTTAATTCCGTCCTCCATGGTGGCATTACACCGGAGGCGTGGAGCAGAAGTGCGGTGGTCTTGTTCTTCAAGAAAGGCGACAACGCTCTCTTGAAGAACTACAGACCGATTTCCCTTCTGAGCCGCGTCTACGTGCTGTTTTCGAGAGTCAATACGAATCGTCTCGCGCGCAGACTTGACGACTTCCAGCCTCCCGAACAAGCCGGTTTCCGAAAAGGCTTTAGCACCATAGACCACATACATATCCTTCGGCAAATTGTACAGAAGTCCGAAGAGTACAATTTGCCACTATGTCTGGCGTATGTGGACTATGAGAAAGCCTTTGATTCCGTCGAAATTTGGGCGGTGCTGCAGTCCCTTCAGCGATGCCAAGTTGACTGTCGGTATATCGAAGTGTTGAAGTGCTTGTACAGTAGGGCTACGATGGCTATCCGAGTACAGAACCAGAGTACGAAACCTATCCAATTGCAGAGAGGTGTAAGACAGGGTGACGTCATATCCCCGAAACTCTTTACCGCTGCATTGGAAGATGTTTTCAAGCTTCTGGACTGGAAAGGATACGGTATCAACATCAATGGCGAGTACATCACTCACCTTCGATTTGCCGACGATATAGTCCTTATGGCAGAATCGCTGGAGGACCTAAGCACTATGCTCAATGACCTCAATAGTGTTTCCCAACAGATAGGTCTTAAGATGAACATGGACAAAACAAAGATCATGTTTAATGTCCATGTCACACCTATGCCGGTAGTTGTTGGGAACACTAAGCTCGAAGTTGTTGACGAGTATGTTTACCTGGGACAAATAGTCCGACTAGGTAAGTCCAACTTCGACCGAGAGGTCAATCGACGGATTCAACTCGGTTGGGCAGCGTTCGGGAAATTACGGAACATCTTCTCGTCAGGTATACCTCAAAACTTGAAAACGAGACCGTACACCCAGTGCGTGTTGCCAGTGATGACATACGGAACTGAGACGTGGTCCTTCACTGCTGGCCGGATGAGAAAGCTCAAGGTCGCTCAGCGAGCTATGGAGAGGGCTATGCTCGGAGTTTCTCTGCGTGATAAACTCAGAAATGAGGATATCCGCAGTAGAACTAGAGTGACCGACATAGCCCAACGGATTAGTAAGCTGAAGTGGCAATGGGCCGGCCATATAGCTCGAAGAACCGACAACCGATGGGGAAGAAAGGTTCTCGAGTGGCAGCCTCGTACCGGCAGGCGAAGTGTAGGGCGTCCCCCCACTAGATGGAGTGACGACCTGGTAAGATATGCAGGAAGTCGATGGATGCAGGTGGCTCAGGACCGTGCTTTGTGGCATTCTTTGGGGGAGGCCTATGTTCAGCAGTGGACTTGTGAAGGGCTGTAATGATGAATGATGATCCGAAGATACAGTCAGAGTGTTTCTGTCATCACATAACGGAAAAAGTATTCACATGGAGTTGCGTAATGCAGTTCGTAACTTACAGTGTTGCTGACGTTCGTGAACTGCTGGTCGGTGCGCGCCGCCACGCGGGTGCAGGACTGGTTCACGTACGCCAAGCTGCTGGCGCTCTTCATCATCATCGCTGCCGGGATCTACCAGCTCTGTAGAGGTACAGTATATTAATTCTTCATTAATTTTTAAAAAGGTTGCTATTTTTCTATTTTTGTTGATACAAACATTTTTGTATTTTTAAACAGGTCTAGTTAAATAGCGCCTTCATCGATCGACTCGATATAGCACCTTTATTGATCTGTAAACGTTATTATTACAAAATGTTTATTTTATTCGTGAAATACCTTTAAATCATATAACAATATATTTTAATATTGGTTCTTACAGTGAACAGAAGACCCAATCGGTTTGGGAATATAAAAATTTACATTGAAAGAACTTGTCGTGTGTCAGCCAAGTTTGAAAAAGAAAAGAGAAACGCACTGGTAGTGTATATTTTAAAAGTCCACTGCTGGCCATGGGTCCTTACCATTGTAGGGAGGATTTGCCTAAATGTCGCGCTTCTCAGATGAATTGACAATCCCAATACCAGATGTTTGCGCTTTTGCTGCCGTTAACGCCTTCTTCGGTTGGTATGGGTATTTTATTTTATTGGTGTTAACAAGAAGGAAAAATCTTATGGCTTTCCTAATGTCGATACATTAGGAAAGCCATAAGATTTTTCTGGAACTACCCATAGTCACCTTTCTTGACACCCACAGATAGAAATGGGATTATTGGATTACTTTCTTCTCTTATCTATTTTTATAACAAAACACAAAACATATCGAGCCACTTAGAAATTTATTAGACCTACACCCTTAAAATTTTGCATGCCTACCGCTGGGTTTCTTGCTGGTTCTTCCCAGGAGTTTTTTTTTTTGGGAACCAGTGGTAAAAGTAAATAATGAATTTCAATAGGTATTATGTACTATAATCTATATTGAATAAAAATTATTCTATTCTATTCTATTCTGTCTTAACGAACATATTTTTAAATACGTACTGTACTTTGATTTCCGGCAGGCTTTTGACAGGGTTAGCAACGATATATATCTAGAGACTAGAGAAGGCAATACCCAGGGTATTTGTTTGTATGACACCAAACCTACTCAATTTCGTTGCTAATTACCTTCACTAACAGTATATGTCTTAGGCAGCATCTCAGTGTAGTGTCGCCCCCTATGATACACGTTCCGGAGTTACTCAAGGATGAATACTTGGTCCTCTTCTTTTTTCGATAGTAAAAGATCTTTCTATGGTCACTAAACTCGATCAAAGTCTACGCTCATGACGTGAAACTTTACCTTGAGAATAAAAAAGAGGAGGACTACCTAATGTCCCAACTTTACTTTCATGTTTCAATGGTGTGGGCAATAAAATGAAATTTCATTCTGTAAAATGTTTCGAGATTCTTAGTTCGAGCGCTCGATGCACTCTTGGACTTTGCATCACAGTACGATCTGTTAGAAAATGAATATGACGATTTGTCGGGATGCTTGCGGTACTGTGAGATGAGAACTTGAATGTTTGTTATAATTTTGAGACTTGGCTTTTAGCTGCATTTATCTTATTTGATCAGATTTAGAAAAATTTTGTAATTAATAATGATGTATTGTGATAGTGTACTCAATTTAGTTGTGTATGTACAAGATTTATTGGTATAATTGGCGAAAACCGTATTAAAAATGTCATTGAGATCACAATTCTTAGGTTTTCAATTAATAAAAAAAAAACTTCGTTAACGGATGTTCCATGCAGGCGTTGTTCAGTAGCTTTGCCTCTACAAAGTGCGAGTGCGAGATAAATTAATTTGCCAGCAAATTGCCCCTTTATACGCTGTCCGTGGAGTTGATCGACTTGTTAATAGAATCAGACTCTCCAACCATCGCCTCGCTCTCGTCTCATCCTGTGGGTGACGGAGTACTTTCTTTTTGTATTGTCACGGAATATCTTTTGACTCCCGACAGATGGCGTAACTATTTCTTATTTACATTAGGCTAGCTGTTACCCACCAAATCCGCTGTACTTATACATAGATTTTTAAACAATTCTAAGCCAGTGCTTTATTATTATCCTACACAGGGGTGGACCGCGAATTTCTGGGGTCCTGGCCTATTATTTTTTGGGGTGCCTACCAATTTAAGGTCGTTGCATAAGTAACGTGTTTTATGTAGGATTTTGATATGGTATGTGGTGATGCAGCTGAAGATGGTGAAGCACACCGACTTAGTTTAACAAAAGCCTACTCTCTCAACCACAAACACCCACGTTGTAATTGGATTGAAAGACAAATTCTGATCATTTATTTCAATAATTTGCTGTACGCATGATTAATGATTGATCAAACCGTTTGGTTCGAACGCGTGGTACATCGACAACGAAAGGGTGCAGACTGGTCGAGCGTCTAGTTGTCAGATACTGCAAGGGAGAGGGAGGAGTTAAGTTATGCAAGGCCTTGTCTCAAGGGAGACAAGGCCGCTGTAAGACAAGGCATCTGAGCATGACAGGATTATAATGCATAAGTGTATAATGTGTTATACACTTATGCATTGTATAACACATGTATAACACATTTATGATTATAGTTTTTAATATTGTATATAATAAAATATTGTATATTATGTTATGTAAATTTGTCATAAATTAAATTATATTATTCAGCAACAATACTACGTTTCATACTTGTTCAGTTTCATATAATCTATACATCTATAAATATTAATACGCATACATTTACATAAATAAAATTTAAATATCGAAAAACTGTCTTCTATTAAGCTGTTAAGACATTAATAACCAGTTTTGATATTTTGTCTGCCTGTCGGGGTGAAGATTAGCTTCATGATGGCTGAACGATTGTGATAAAACTTCACGAACAGACAGAGAGCAATGCCTGAAGTAATCCATGTCATGTTCTATGCGAAAAAAATGCAAAAATCGAGAAACTGTTAATATAAATGATTCTTCGTGATTATCAGATAAATTGTAAAAGATATAAATGAGCAAGTATGTTTCGAACAAAATTGTTTTTTTGGTTTGTAATTTTACATTTACAAAAAAGGCCCTCACACTTTTTCTTACATTTTTTTTTATAGGACAAGGGTGACAAACGAGCACACAGTCCACCTGATGGTAAATGGTTGCTGTGGCACATAGACATCTACATCTATCTTCGATTACGAATCAAAAAGCAGATGCGTTGTCACCCGTGAGGACTAAGATGGAATGCCTCGTTTCCAGTAAAAGGGTCTCCGGTTCTCTACACTCACCATACGAAACACAGCAGCGTTAAGCTGCTATTTTACGCTAGTATTCTGTGAGAGCGTGGTCCTTCCCCGGTCGAGCGGACCCATTCGTGCTACAACCATAATATAGCTGCAGCATGGCTCTACCACGTAAAAAAGTTTCTTAAAGTGTTGATGACACTTCAACACTGCTTTACAATAAAACTATGATTGCTACATAAATGATAAGATCATAATACTTTTTGTACGTGAAGGTCAATTTTTGTTTTAAACATTTTCCCATCTCGCACAAAATTTTCGAAATAATACTAAAAACATTGAGCTTAAAGTGGTTTTTCGATAGGATAACTATTTGCCCAAAGACTGCTTTTAAAGATCAGGTATTCTCCTCTAAATTTAACGCGGAAAAGTCGCGGGTAAAAACTAGTTTATAATATAATATTATGTAATCTTTTGAGCCTTGACTTTTAGCTGTTTGCTTTTGCTCTATAATATTTGACATTTTTTAGTTTAATTCGTTATTATTTTTAATTTAATAATTCTGATTTAAATTTTGTATGTTCATTGATTTATTGCAATATTATAGTACTCAATTTAATTTTGTTCTGTATGCACCTACTAAATTAATTAGTGGAATTCGCTTAATGCGTGCAAAATAATTAAAAATAAATAAATATTAACTGACAATAATTGAGGTGGCTATTCCATGATAGCTCAGGAGCAGGCCTCTGTCACTCTTGCTACCTGCGTGAAATAATTACCTACAATCGTGAGTATGCCCCAGGGGTAGATCGTAGTCGGGGCTAGCGCGCTCTATACGATTGAATGTTAAGTTTTATTAACGCTGTTTACGTAAATAATTTTTTGTAAATACTTGTTGAAATACTCGTCGAAATAGTTTTTGTTTAGTGTTTAGTATATTTAATCGTAGGATAAATTGTTGAAAAGTTTTAATATAATTTAAGAATAATATATATGTATATTACCTATCTATTAGATAAGTTATAATGACAAAACGTCGTCCCTACTATAATTGTTGCGGGGATGGATGCTTAATGAGCAATTAAAAGGATTCAGATATATCATTTTCTGAGTTACCGAAGGATAATGAATATTTAATTTTTTTTGTTAGATAGGTACTTATAGCGAATAATCAAGTAATAATTCAACTACAGAAGTAATACCTAAGTGCTTTATTACAAAACTTAGTTGAAGTTTACTTCACTACCCAAGTACCTACTTACATACCTATACTCGTCTTTGTAATTAAAATATTTTAAGTTGTAATAGCACAAAATACTGAAATTAAAACTTTGCTTACAAGATTTTTAACTAAGTAGTTTACGATCATATTTCTGTTAGTAATCGTTTTTCGGGTTTATTTTCCCGACGAATGGCCTTGCAAGTTGCATGCGTTGGGCATCACAGAACTCACATAGTAGATAATATGGTCGATTATAGTCAGCATAGGTACTTTACCTAAGTAACTTACCATTTCACAATGTATTTTTTACTCTTTATTAACAGCTCTTAGCAACCACGGAAAGTCCGTTGTGACGTAGTAAGGAGAAAATATGCAAAGTAATACGGACCCTCGCGCGCAGTGATAAAGTTTTATTTAGCTTGCGTGCGCGATTTATCTCATTAATAATAACTATGTAGGCTATTAAAACGTCGGCAAGCAGTCAACATCAAAAAAGTGCAACTTCTGTACGTTAGTACTATTATTTATTCTGTGTCAGGAGCCTTGCCCTAAGGCAAAGACATTTAAGTAGTAGTAGTAATAGACCGGACATCAATAGCAAAATTGTCGTCTGTAACTTATGTCCTATAGGATATATCTCCGATTTTTGTCAATTAGTCTTAGTGA